ACTTCTTATAAAATCGGCACTATTCAACTATTACTACCCCAGATTTCCGGAAACGGGCCGGATTTTGATCGACTTTTTTCTACGGGGGTGGATTTGGCTGAAAGTTGGGTTCTAGGGGTAATTCGACCTCCTGAACACGAATATCACATCCGCTCCTCTCGAAACCGCCTGGCGCCCGCGCCACAGGCGCCGGCGCCAAAGTACCCTAGATCACGAAATCCGCTGAAAACTTGTACCTAGGGGTAGTTTGACCTCCTAATCACGAATATCACATTCCCTCGGCTTGAAACCGCTCCGCGTCCGCGCTACGGGCCGGCGCCAAAATGCCCCAAATCACTGGCGCCTATGGCGCGGGCGCCAGGCAATTTCAGGCCAAGTGGATGTGATATTCGTGTTCAGGAGGTCGACTTACCCCTAGCAACCCAATCCTTTCAGCCATCACCCCTAAGAAAAAAGTCGATCAAATCCGGCCTGTTTTCGCAACTGGGGTATATAGTTGAATAGTGCCAAATCCACTTCCTTCAAAAATACTTAAAATGAATGTTTGTTTATACCTATTGTGGGCACACCCGTCTTGCCCCACCGCAACGTGGTGCTTTGTAGATCACAAGATGATCGCTATCACAGCGCCGATAGTTGGACTGGGTTGTGCAAGCGCTTCGAGTATGGTTCATTTCTAATCCACTACATCACCTACACGGCTGGCAACGGACAATGTACGCGATCATGTCGCTTTCCTGCTACCAAAATCTCTCCGCTTAACATCTACCGTCGCCCTCCGTGGCAGAAAAACGTGGTTTTTGGACGCAGTTACAAAGTTATTTTCTCCAGTTACTGGACTCCTAGGGAAAATGGTACCTATCATTGGGTTGCCGTTCATTACTTTGCGGCAACGTCCACGTTGCGTTTCGAGCGTCCACTTGCATTCGAGCGTCCGGCAGCATCAGCGTCTGGTGATGTATAGATCGCTTGGGAGCTGCAGGTGTCGATCTAGCGTCTACCAGCGTCTGCCAGCGTCCACCAGCGTCCACCAGCGTCTACCAGCATGCGGCAGAGGGGAGTATGGTGCGATAGGAGGGTAGCAGACAGCTGATAGAGTACGGGGAGATAGGAGGGCAGCAGACTGTTGGTAGAGAGTACGGCGCGATAGGATGGTAGCAGACATCTGTCTTCTACCCTCCTATGCACGTGGTGCACGCTGGTGCATTCCCAAGCCCTCGAAACGCTGGTAGACGCTGGCGAATGCTGGAAGACGCTGGCAGACGCTGGATCGATATCTATGCTTTCTCAGTCTTGACGCTGCCGGACGCTCGAGACGCTAGTGGAAATGCCGCAGAGTATGAACGCAGCCTTACACTGTTTTATTCTGTCAAACTTCCCATGGTGTCATACCGTTTCTAATCCTGGCTTAGAATTCGGGTATCCCTGCCCTGTAAAGTCGGAGAATGGGTGAACTGGAAGAATATGTGCCTAAGAAGTGGAAATGATCAAATGGGATTCGCAGGAGCCATCTTCCAGACGCGCGTTCTATGATTCTCCCGATTCGTTAGGCGCAACTCATGTGGGGAAGGGGGGGGGGGAAGTCGTGCAATTTGATCCCAGTCCAAGCATTCTTCGTTCTCCAACTCTCCAGTGTCGCGACGTGTGAACGCGTCCTAACCTCCGCAACTCATACCGGAGTTCTGTGTACCACTCTAGCTGACTCTTTTGTATCTTTCGAGCGCTGTAAATATGCTCTTTGAGCTCTTTCTTCTTTTTGAGAGGCGTGTCGATTCCGATGTGCAGTATGAAGAGCCAGCGATTTTTTTTCCAAACGACCTTCCATATCTTTCTTTCAGCCAAATAAGGAAGAGAAAGACAGTGGTCCTCGCCACGATATAACAGGCTATGCGATGGGTGCTGAGACTAACCCCTGTGTGGAAGAGATGGTCTACCGTAATCGACAGATTGCTGCTCCGCTTGGATCTCATTCCTGAGAGCGAGGAAGAAACAAGGCTACCAGAAGGATCAATCAATTCCATCTGTCACGACCATTTTCACCTCAATAAATTGTTTTTGAAGATCGCTTTTGGATAACCTGCCTTGAGTACTATTCATGGTAACCCGAGATGTGGCTACGCAGCTCAACACGATGCTCAGTACTCTGTTTTTCTTTTTAGATACAAGAATTTGATGGAAAAGCGCGGCGGAAATCCGTCATCAGTTGTTGTTACTTGCCCTCTCCAACAAGTGGTGGAGAAGGGACTAGAGCTGCGGCAACCCCCCCCTCCTTTAAAACGGCACAGCGTTTGCAGCGAAGCGAAAATGGCTTTATAAGTAGGCAGTTGCGCCTTGCTCAGACCACTTTATCCGCACTGCGCCTTACGTACATTACTTATACCGCAGATGGAGAGGGCGTGGTCACGATCTCTCCGACCGCGGCTACACTTTTGTGAAGATATTCCGGTTTCGAGACAACGTAATAGTATCAACTTAAGTATCAGGATACGTTGTCTTGATCGGGAAGATTTCACCAAAAAAAACTCATCGCACCAAGTCCAATGAAGTTGTGCTTAGTTCCCTGCGGATATGCTGAGCATGTCAGGCGGGTATGAGTTTGGCTCAGTGCCAAACCCGTTCTGTAGACAGCAAAATGATCATTGACTGTATCATACCGTTAATTACTGAGTTTTCGACCACTTTTTGTTCGCATATCGCGCCTCCAACAGAATTCAGAGACGCCTTTTGACGCTTGCCACAGCTCATACTAGCTTGACAACACCCAAGCGTGACAGCGAAGCTAGAGTACATGCTCCGCCCACTCATGTAGGTATCGAGTTTTATGTGTAGTTGATTCCGACGGAGAAGGCTGAGAGATAGAGTGACCGTTTCTCATGTCATCCGTGCTTGTTCACAGGTCTCGACAACTGTACATGACCTCGCACCAACCCTTATCTTCGTGAACACACCTGCAGGGCGGGATAAACTGCACCTAAGTGTAAGGCCAAGTCTAGACATGAAGGAGTGGTGCACACTTCAGTCTGAACAGGCTGGAGTAACCAAAGTATTGCGCTTCTGATGGTACCCCTTCGGTGAGGCATCATTTAGTCATGCTTGTCGGCACAAGCAAATTATGACAATTGTCTCAGCAATAGAATAATCCACAAAAACGCAATCCTAAGACCATGCCTTGCGCCGCGCACGAAAGCACGCTCCCCTCTTTAGGGTTAGTTAGGTTGCTCTCCACAGACTAAAGTGTTCATGGAAACACAGGTTCCAGTCAAAATCACTTCAAAATCATTTATTATAAGCCAACTGAACATTTGGGAACATTAGCAACATACTATCAGCACCATCTAGATATGGGACTTTGGGGTTTCCACCTGGAAGGTAATGCCGAAGGATTCGAGGTATGAGTAGAGCTGAGTTTTGGCGAATGCTGACGCTGTCGTGAACACACCGCCTCTGAAAAAAAGTCTGAGATTACGATTACACAGCTTCATAAGTATTTATGTCAACTAAGGGAGATGAAGGAGGTCCGAGAGTATGAATCCCCCTAAGATCCACAAAACCTGGCTCTCACAAAAAATCATGGTGTGAAACAATTGTTTCAACACTTTCAAGAATCTGAATGGAATATTGAAGGCATGGCTCATCCCGACGGCACTTGCCGATGATAAGCAATGTAGACCCCCCCCCCGGATTACATGTTCTGCATAACGGGAACATTTGAAAGAAATATCTTATGTGCTTACCCCTGAGGAAGATTTTCTCCACGAATTAAAGCCAATGCAGCTGAAAGAACACATCCACTGGTTGCCATATAACCTGCATCTGGTCCTTTGCAAGTGACAACCATCTAAATCAGAAACAGTGAACGTGATAAGGTTCAGAATTTTCATATTGGAAAAAAGTTGATATCGTCGCAATAAGTCGGGAGGGAGGGGGGGGGGCGGAATGAGCTCGCCTCCGGCTGCTTTTTCAACCAATGGTGATCGTTTAGTGATCGATGAGAAAGAAAGCAGTCTGTGATAGAAAAAACCTGCTTCTCGAGATTGACTCTGAACAGTGGGAGCTTCGCCCACACAAAGCATCTCTTAGAAACGCCTTTTCAGAATCACTCTTCGTTTGGACATAAAGCTCAAAACAGGAAGAACAGGGTGGGGGCAGCGGGCCGCTCGCAGCTTCCCCATAACATAACCAATTTCGTACTTTCTCGCTCAGGTACAACGTATAGTGTTCTCCGGTAGGAACTACTCGGAGCACTTCCACTCTTGCAAGTTATAGGAGCGTTGCCGCGCAACCGAAGCTTAGGCTGCACAGCTTCAGGCATTTCAGGGATCAAAGGCGGCTTTGTGGTGCAATCACCAGCATATCAGCTCCGTAACAGTGAAAAACGGCTTCAAGTTCTGGCAAGCTTTTGGCCCACTATCTTTTAGAGCTAATGAATTTAACGCATAATCATGCCATCCTCCACCATCCATACCTCTACCATCCCCCATTCATCCCCCCCATCATCCATCATCCTCATCATCCCATCATCCATTCCCATACATCATTCATACCCCCCCGCATAATGCCACATAATGTCCAATAGGAGACTTTAACTAACCCTCTGATTTGGCTTGCCACTGTGCTGCTCCTCTAGTGGCTTACGATCGGAGTAACCGTAGGCGAAGAACCAGTACACGAAAGAGGCTTCTTCCATCTGCTTCTTAGTCGGTCCGGATCTCTGAACATTTGAACTATTTGTTGAAGGTATATTAGCGAGAGGGTGAGGAGGCGTCCAAAGCGTCACTGGCGGAGGGGAGTTACACAAATGCACTGAGAGCTTCAGACGTCTCCTACTTTAACCCATCCAAAATCCAGTCAAACAATCACCTTGAACAAGCCAAAACTGCAGAGATCCGGGTATTGTTGCAGAAATTTCCTCGTAAATGCAAACTGAGCAAGAATAGCGAACAGTGTCAGCCATATTGCCAGAAGACAGGTCCAAAATAGCGAGCCGACTCGAAGATACGTCTCTACATACACCTTAAGTACAGTTTTGACTTAAACGCTGAACCCATAGCAAATTTCATCGCAAGAAAAGATGCCTTACAGGTCTCTTCTTATTAACGGTAGCGTCGTAGTACTGTGAACGATTTACGATCGATTTGTCCGAGCCCATGAATGGTACTGCCCATCCTTCAAGTTCCTCCTCCTGGATGTGCCATACTGTACCTCTGAATTTTTTAATCTTGATCGTTATTTCAAGAAGACCTTCATTGAGATAACACAAAAGTGAGGCAAATCGGCTTGGTGGGGCATTTTGTTGGTTCTCATCGATCACTGCCAGTTTCTCATGCAGAGACCTGCAAATTCCTGTAAGCTAGTAGCAGCATGAGCTTCGTTTACGATTGCCGAGGGTCCAGGTCTGACCAAGGTGGGACCTGTAATTCAATAGGAACTAGTAACACGGACTAGCATAAATGCGGAGCCCCCCCAAAGCCGAGCCACTCCCTCCATTTGTGGGTACTATAAGGAAAAGGCCAACCGCGTTGCGAAAACCGCGGAGCAGGAAATCCATGTCATGGTGACGCGAAGAGAGCGCTGCAGCGAATGTATTACGCGGCAGCCGTATGGGTACCTAATTGATTTAACGCAGAAGTGTTCGATCTGCGTGTCGCCGCAATGTAGATCTTCTAGATTGCATACCTATTCCGAGGTATTTAGTTACTATTTAAGCTAGTGTGAGGGCCACTTTTCGACTTATTACGTACTTGGGCGCTGTTGCAACCCTTCGGATCCACTCAATAAATGAAAGCGATAAAGACGCCTTAACAGGCGCTCATTCGCATGAGGCAGTTTGGTTCGGCGGCAGATGCCGGGCCGTGTCAGAGAAGGCTCGAGTTGAGCGCGGCCACAAGTTCGTTGTCTCAGTTGTTGAACCGCGGACAGAGTTACACATTACAACAGTTGGTGAAAAAGGGCTGGCGTCGTATCAAATACCCAGACTCCCCCCCCTGTATCCCACACGCGTCTGTGCGGATACGACCATATTCATCTACGCAAGGAAAATCAATCAACTGTGTCTAACTGTGCGTGGAGGCGGTGTAGCGACAAGTGGCGTGCTTACCATGCGAATGGTCCGGGATCGCATCCCGGATCGGCTCCCGCCAAGAGCAATCAAGCCTTCCGCCCACCAGACACGGTACATCGGTACTAGGTTCGTCTGGGAGGATAATGGCACTAATTTGTTCATTAATGGGCCCCCGCAAGTCATTGTATAGGTCACGTTGCATTCAACAAATCACTGCTATCTTGAATGAAAGCAGGAAGCAGACCGCATTCCACGAAAGGATTCAGGTTTTATCCCTTTTTATGTCTAACTACGGAAGGTAATAACGCACATAGACTTGTAGAATAAGCATCAGCAGAATAGGATCTTATTACGCAGTGAATGGTCATTACTTGGGTCTAGTAGCCCTACACATTAACCCAGCTACCTGAGCATGTTAGTTCCGAAAAGGAGCACATCCACGGCCGTCGTTTGGGTGGATCCAGCCCTACCATTGCCTCTACCTCATCAGTGTGCTCCCTCCTCTTCATGGTTTTAGAGAGGTACACACTCCACATCCCGAAGATGGATGGGGCGTAGCTGTGTACCTTATTTGGAAATGACGTTGAGCTCACTTTCGTGGGATACTTCCTTCTGAGGAAACCGTTTACTTCTCTTATGATGGACAAAGGCATGGTTACAATCGTCGAAGAACAGCAATATCAACCATAAGCGCACTCGTCAACACGTTCAAGTGAACAAAGTAGCCACGCCCACTCCATCTCCGGGACATGGAGTCTACCAAAGAGGATGCTACAGTAGTGGGCGTGATTTTGCCCATCTGACGAACGTAGAGTACTTCTTTATTTACCTCTTTGGTGGTTTCGCTGCTCCCTTCACGATCTTCTCTGGCATAATTGCACGTCGAATCTTTCCAAGACCATCCTTGGCTGCTTCACTGATGCCAAGAATCAATGTCTGATAGGTACCCTCGTTAATCGCATAACCCTGAAAGATTACTAGTTGTATGGGAGGTACCGTTACCGTTGAAAAGCAAATTCGGCCTCAAAAGGGTTAACCCCGCATTGTGAATAACCCGCTAATACCTCAACCCAAGCGATCGAAGTAAAAGGAGTCAAAAACTCTACAGACCACAACAATATGGAAAAAGGACAAGATCGTACAGATGGTCCGCTGTTCATTTGGACGAATGTCTCAATATGGTTGACATCGCCGTCGAAATGTTCTTTCACGAAATTCACTCCCATATCGCATGGAATTGAATCCCAGCCGCATGCACCAACCACATAAACGCCCTGAAAATATCAAATGAAAATATGAAAGGCAAAAACTGAAGCTTCCAGCGCTGATCGATCCTCTAAGAGGTGCGCCGCACACCCTACTTCCACTCAGAACTGTAGAGGTAAATCAAACGGCTGTTTGGCCAACGATTGCCGGGAACCGAGTTGGGTTGGAGCATCCGGGGCGACATTTCCATTGGAACATCCTAGGTCTGCAGTGATTGTTGGAAAAGCCCTGGTTGCGTTCCAGTTCACACACCCTCTCATTTGCAGGGACAATTACTGTGACTACCTGCTGACAATTCCACATGACTCCCGAAAACACTGATAACTCACCTTTTCCTTGGCCTTCTCTCCATAAAGCATCTGCATCTTCTCGAGGAACTGAAACGGACCAGAAATTGCAGAAGTAAAAAAAAAACGTTTTTGAAATGGCTCACCGCAGGTTCACCGGAAATGTCGACGTGACTGGCCCCATTCTCCACAGCCGCCTTCACCACTGCTTCGCCATACAGCCGGTACTTAAA